AAGTCAACAGAGACAGACATTTTCTCCCCAGGGAAAATGTAGATTTTCTTTAAAGAGCAAATTTTCCAAAGGATACCCAGCAAAGCAAAATGAAAAATTGACAAAGACTGTCGCCAATCGCTTCTTCAGTCATGCAGCATCCAGAGAGAAGCAGAAACCTGCTGTTACCATCACTTCGTGTCTGGTGAACACCTGAGATTGCTCCTGCAGGCTCATGATTCCTGACATTCCCCAAGCAGCAGGTGCTACAGGGAAGCAACAGATCACTCCATAGAGAGCCAAGAAGGAAGGCAGCAGAGGCCAGATCTGCCGTAACAACAGAACAATTCTCAAATCATCATTTTACAGCAAAATAACGTCTGGATATATTCTGTTTGCTTTAATGATGAGGGGTTATCCGCTCCTTCCTCTAATACTTAGGTAATGCCATAATATACCACCTTAAATGCCAGACAGATCTCTTAATCCCGGCTTGTACAAAGAAGAGCCAAGATTCACTCGGATTTGCTCCCATGGGTCTGTTGTCTCACTCATCCCTTCCTGCTCTCGGAGCAGCTCCACCCAAGCACCACTCCCACATCTGTGAAAAGCCAGATCATCCTCACAGCTGCTGGAACCAGGGCTTAATTTACACAGCCAAGTGCTTAAACACAGCATGCTCTTAAAATGGCAGAAAACAGAACAGAATTTAGTGCATATTGATAAAGTTAGGAAAGATGAAACAACTTCAGATCTAATATTCTTTGCAATATATGTAAATTTAAGGATATCAGAGTATATGACCACCACCTAACAATCTCAGGTGAGGAACAATAAATCACAAAAAAATCCCCAGATCAACATATGTGCTGTAACAATCTTTCTAATATTGCTAAAATTTCATTAGTGTGGCTAAAATTTCATATTCAGTGGATGTTACTCAAACTGCAAACAGAAGCCTTAGTAAAGATTAAATACTTAACTGTAGTATTCTAAAAATAGGAAATGATTGTATAAAATCAATACTGTGAAAATGGTTCATGATTCTTTTCCTAAAGTTGCTCAGTGCAATTGCAAAGACTTCCACCAAATTACTAAAACTAACATCCTAAGGTAGCAAGGTATATTGCAGTCAGATTGCCAGCAGCCTGAATAAATGTGCTTTTTTCCCCATGGCCAAACTGACTGGCTGTCATTAAGGTTATGCAGAGTCTTTTCCATTCCAAAAGCTAGTATTAACAAAAGAATTTTGCATGCTATTGCAGAATGAATTAAAACTGACTTGCCAGTTTTGTAGCATACAATTGCACATGTTTTTTGAAGCCCGCAGCTTTCTGAGCTTTGCGTTAACTATTAGTAAAGGTGAAGAATTGAGAAATGTAGGAAATTCCCATGAAGGGAGGGTCACCATGGACTAATAAGGCAGGCGCGTGGAGCAAAGAGCAGAAAAACTGATGGTTCCAGAAAGAAAGATCTAAGTGTTTCATGTATCTTAGAAGTTGTCATATGGAGAAAGTATGGAATTCAGGAAAGGTTCAGTCAGACAGTAAGTGAAGAACATTGTTTTTGGAGGGTAGAAATGCATTTTTAGCGCAACAAGTTTCTGAGATAAAACTTCCCTGTTAAAAAACATTGTGAAAATGTTGGCAGGGCATCACAGAGCTGTGGGGACCCACAGATTCTGTTAATCTTTACTGTGGCTCCAGAGATGAGAGCTTCACAGACTGGAAGGACAAGGAAGAAGACAGAAGAGTCTGGAAAATATGTGACAAAAGTTCTTCTCTTGTGTTTGCCACTCTGGGAGGACCTAAGGGTGCTTTGAAGCCAGGTGGCTCATCCCACTCATGTCTGACAGAGCAGCCCAGCTCTGTGCCGGGCTGAGGGAAGGAAGGACTGTGGCTTGTGCAGCTCAGCACAGCAAAACTCTCAGAAGAAAGCTTGGAGAGGTGAAGCTTTCTCAGTCCTGCTTCTGATCCTTTTGGTATTTTCCATGAGACTGTGACACCAGCTTCAAAACCCTCCAAGGCTGTGGCAAAGGCAGAACTAGTCTCAGAGGCTATGCCTCTATGAGAGGTGCGTCACATTTTAAAAAAGAATAAGGAAGGAACAACACACCAATCACATCTTCTTCTGCTTAGCTGGCAAACAAAACAGGTGTATCATTTATGGATGTTCTGGCCAATACAGCCTGATACCTTTCTCATCAGCTGCTAACCAACTTAATTTGAACTGCTTGCTTCACACTATGAATACTGGAGATACTGATTGTTTTTAAATGGATCTACGCCAGCAGCAGCTGTATGGCAATCCCAACTCTCTGCAAAACCTGACTGTCTCATCACCCGCTACTAACACAGTACCAACTCTCAGTCTCCATCCTAGCAGCAGACTAAGAGATATGTCAAACCTTAGAGCAAAACTGGCTCATTTGGGGCTGCTACAAAATGAAAACTTGAAGAGCTCAAAGCAGGCACGGATATCATCAGTCCATAGGGTTTTTCCCACACATGGGTTTAATTCCTAAGGAATGGTGGAAGTACAGCTACTTTTTGTTCAAGAAAAGTGGCTTGAGAACTTACTGACAAAGCTATTTTTCAGTGAAAATTTAGGGGTTCGAATAATATATGTTTTATTGCAGGATGCATCTGCATGGATTTTTCATAGGAAATCCATAAACCACAGCTCTTTGCCATGAAAAATAAAAAAGGTGTGCTTTTCCTTTTTAGACAACTATTTTCCAGTTACCAAAACTCAGAATGTTTTGGTTGGTCTGCAAGAAGTGAAAAATTTCCACTGAAGAAAACTATTCTCCTGATGTTTCTTTCCGACAACAGTAAACCCGACACAGTGCTGCAGGTGTGGAGGATCTCTCTGGAAGATCAGTGTGTAAAGCTGTCACATTTGGGTTTGAAACAGGAGCAGAACTGGTCCCAAAATTAATAGTGGGCCAGCACAAAAAAGTTAGGAATGTTTTGTGGTGAGTTTTTTTCCATATATGACTTCAGCTAGACTCTTGGCTCTCAGCCATTTAAACAAAAAAATCCTTTCAAAATTAGACTGAGCTTTGAAGGATACACGAGTAAGGCAGACTGCACAAAAATAAAAGCACTGGATACAGTTGCTAAATAATACAAGAAGCAATGGTTCTTTTCATAGATTTTTCACAACACTCGTGGTCTGTGTTTCTCAGTCTACTGTCTATATATTTTTAATAGATGTTTCAAGTAACATATTTTTTAATAATTTATAACTCTCCTATTAGAAAAATATTATGACAAAGCATAGCTCAAAATGCACTTCTCCAAAATAAGGAGCACTATCCCATCCAGAACAGTAAACCCCATCATCTACTGGCAAAGAAAAATAACTTTGAGCATAACTTGTTTAGGTCTACAAATATATCATTAGTTTGGTATGCAGACATGCTCTTTTACTTCTTGTTTAAAACACAACTTTAAATCTAGGCACTTATGTAACACAGGGAGTAGTTAAAGGCAGACTTATGTTGCCATGAAATGGAATTAGTAGAGCTTACTCTATACATTAAGTTGGCAAACATTTGACTTTTTTTACATGCTCCAACATCTGCTGGAAGCTGTAGGATGTTCCTGGAAAATACCTAAAACTTCTTTATTTTTATTTATTTTTTTTTTTCATTACTGGAAAAATACTACAGCATGTATGAGTGCTAGACTGTAAAATATAAATAAGCAGAGCTAAGCTGATTTCTGCAGAGGCAGTGTTTGGACAGTAAAAATCTGTACTGGAGAAATTTCAACCACCAGAGCTGATCACTGTGGCAAAATCTAGTACAGTCTTTTTGTTTTTCTAGTTCATAACTGAATTTGGCATATCGACTTCCTTGGTCATTTAAACCAAAAACATTTCACATAGGTGTTGCACATGGTCCCCAGAGATGCCATCTTTTCTCTGCAGCCCTTCTGACATTAACAAAGCCTGCAGAAATGCTGTTTTGTATTACTGAGATGGAAAGTACTCGTCAGGAAGTAGCTGAAAGGTGCCTATGAAACCAGACTAAAATAAAAAAAGTGCAATGAATAAAATTTCCTATTTCTTCATGCAGCCTGCCAAGAAAACTGCATTTTCAAGAAAATTTTAAACTTGAAATTAGTGGTGGAATTTTGAGCAGCCTCAAACAGGCTAAGTAATTCTGGGTTTTGTCTATGCAACTACTCTGATTGGGTAAAGAACAAAGCAAAACTGAGCTCTCTGGTAACCCCAGGAATGTATAGCAAGCCTGAATGATGCAAACAACACTCCATTTAGCATCAGAAATAACCAACCACACCATTTTTCTACTGAGAGAATGATAGCCTCTGTATTTTTTTTTTGCCTTCCAGTTCCAAAATTGACTTCCAACAGAAGACCAAATTGAGATCAGTTTCAGTTCACACCTTAAACATGGTCAGCATATATCTAGTCAGTGCCCAAAGCTCCTCTGTCAAGCCCAGTGTAGTTCTACGCAACAAACCTACAGTTCCTTGCGCAAGAGATCAAGCTCCTTCAGAAGCCTGCTTTAACCATTAATCAAATTTCAAGAGGAACTAAGAACCAACAGTGATTTACCCCAGCTTCTGCAGCAAGTGCAAAATGTACTTCTTCTGTATCATGTTCTTTAACACTCTTACAGAAAAACCAAAACATTAGTGGAGGAACAAACATACCTGCATGCATACAGCTTTTCTTTAAGAGAGAAAATGAGAAAGAACAAAATGAAGCAGGTATTTCAATCACTCAGTTATACTGCTGAAGCTGGTTTGAGAAGCCATCAGGAACCAAATTGATCTGATCTGGTTCCTGCATTTTTTTTACAGAAGGATATATCTAATGGAGAAATTATCTAATGGTGGAAAATTAGCTGCACAACTGAGAAGGGCTAGAATTTGGCCTCTATCCTTACTCACATAGAGAGTTTACCAAGCTTTACCTCTACGGAAGCATGCTGGATCAGTAGCTAACATTTAGTAATTAATGAATTTACTAAGTGAAATTAATCTTACTGTGGTAAGGACTTTCATGTCTGGGATCTTCCACCAGTCTCCTGTTTTCAAGGACTGTGACTGTATATCCATGTTTTGCCAGGATGCGCTGGCAGAGCTGACGGTCGGTCTCGCGGTGGGCAGACGGCGCGTACAGAACTGCTCTTCTCGTACGAGCACCAAAGTGCTGGAGAATGGAGTCCTCGATCTACAGCAAACACAGTGCAAAGACAATGATTGTAGGATAAGAGACGCCACAGCAGCATAATATATATTTGCTCTTTTTCATAAAAAGAAACTGGCAAGTAATTATGACAATCTGGGAAATATTTCTGGTATAATTAATATTTCTCTTTGTATCAAGGACTTCTGACTACAAATTCCCTTTTGTCTGACTCTCCTTTTTTTTTTTTTTCTACCTTCATTTTTGATTGATATTCCAAGGGTTCGAAAGCTCAGGGTAGCAACAGAGGATCTTCACTGCATGGAAATAGCTGTGGCTGAAATCTGGGCCGCCCTGGTGACAGTACTTGCCAGGTGACTTCGACTGTGGTCTCAGGGTGATCTGTGGCTCACCTAGCAGACAAGACTTGGTGGATCCCATGTAAACAGTTGCAAGGAAATATGCAAATGGTAAGTGCAGAGATTTGAGTTCTGCTGTGCAGCGTGATTAAGGAAAGCAAGAGTACTAAGATAAAAGAATGCAGAGGAATCCTAAACAGTACTGTATGTTGCTGTGTCTCTAGAAAAATAAACCTTGTTTACCTTGTTAGTACCTTATCAGTCTAATATGATCCAGTCCAGAGCAGGACTGGCAGAAATACTTGCGTATAGGAGTAAATGAAAATGCACATGGTGTTTCCAATGAATCTCAAAAAACTTTGTGCTGTCTACCATTCACTGTCTTTCCACATAATACCTAGAGACAATGGCATCTAGAGAAACCCCTTCCTACATATGATAGCCTGGGATATGAGGTTTTTGCAAGGAAAAATGGAAAAGAGCCACCTCAAACACACAGAGGTAAATGTGATCTTGACATTAAGTTTTGAAAACAGCAAAATACTAGATCACTGTCACTGGATCTTTGGGAAAAAGGAATATCTTATGTCATGTAAGTGTGATGGATTGACCCTGGCTGACATGAAAGCCACTCTATCACTTCCCTCCTCAACTGGGCAGGAGAGAGAAAGTACAACAAAAGGCTTGTAGGTTGAGAAAAAGACAGGGAGGGATCACTCACTGTCTTGAGCAAAACAGACTTGACCTGGGGAAATTAGTTTTATTTATCACCAGTCAAATAAGAGCAGAATAATAAGAAATAAAAACTAAATGTTAAAACACCTTCCCCACACCGCTCCCTTCTTCCTGGGCTCAACTTCACTCACAATTTTCTCTGCCTGCTCACTCCCAGCAGCACAGTGGGATGGGGAGTGGAGGTTGCGATCAGTTAATCGCATATCATCTCTGCTGCTCTTTCTTCCTCAGAGGGAGGACTTCTCACACTCTTCCCCTGCTCCAGCGTGGGGTCCCCCCAACGGGAGACAGTCCTTCACAAACTGCTCCAGTGTAGGTCCTTTCCATGGGGTGCAGCCTGTAAGAAACCGATTGCTCCAGTGTGTGCCCCGGGGGCCAAAGGTCCTGCCAGTAAACCTGCTTTAGCATGGGCTCTTCTTTCCATGGATCCACAGGTCCTGCCAGGAGCCTGCTCCAGCACTGGCTTCCCATGGGCTCACAGCCTCCTTCAGACATCCATCTGCTCTGTATGGGGTCTTCCACAGGCTGCACGTGGATATCTGCTCCACCATGGACCTCCATGGACTGCAGGGGGACAGCCTGCCTCACCATGGTCTTCATCACGGCCTTCATCTGGACTGCAGCTGCTGAGGTGCAACATTTTTCTTTTTCCCCATCCAACTGATGAGCTCGGCCTTGGCCAGTGGTGGGTCCATCTTGGAGCTGGCTGGCATTGGCTCCATCAGACATGGGGGAAACTTCTAATAGCCTCTCACAGAAGCCACCCTTGAAACTCCCTTCTACCAAAACCTTGCCATACGTGTCTAATAAAATAAGACATAAAAATAAGATGTTCCATGTGGGAAATAGGTCACCAATATCTGAAATAGTCTACCTGTTCTTTTGCAATCAAATCACCGTTAACAGACATTTTTTTCTTTTGGTGAAAAATATTTGTCTTTAGGACTGAAATATATCAGCATTTAAGGCATTATACCCAGATCATGTATTTAGTTCTTAGAAAGTTCATGAATTTCAGCCTAGCAGTAGTTAGCAGTATGTCCTTTAAAAAATCAAGTTACTCCATAACTTCTAATTTTAGCAAGTTATCACTGGGGATAGGAAATGCTACACAAACAAGGCACCACCATTTCGTACACAATAGACCTCACTGGAAAGAGACAGACGCTTTGGTATAAACAAATGTCATTCAAGATGTGTCCAGTTGTTTATAGGCCTGGAATCTAGCTATAAAGTCACTCTTCTCAGCAGTCTGTTTGCCAATTACAGGGTGTAGTTTTATGTTATGCTTGTCTGAAGTGTAATCTCCTCTGCAGCAGAGAGGAGCACGAAGTATTTCAGGGCCCTGAGCCTCTAACGCCACATCTGCTTTTGCTCCAGAGCAGACATCCCCCATGGAAAGGGATAGCATCGTCAGTGAGGGAACCCTGAAAAATGTTTCGATACAACACTGTCAGAGTCTTCCACGTATATTTGCTGAATGTGCAACCTGAAGCTACTTAACACACTGGGATATTCAAGAAGAGGCCGATGACATACTGGCCGGAAGAAACACAAATAGCACAGGGTGAGGGCACAGGAACTGCATTCGGCAACCTGTCAGATGTCCTCTGCAGCGTCCCAGTGTTTATAAAACACATTAATCGGGTGGCAAGCACAGCAGTAGAGCATCTCAGATCACCCTTCCCCACATTCTTTCCCCTTTTGCACTTGCCCCTCCCTCCTCTCCTCTTATCTTCTCTCTTTCCTGCTCTCCTGCAGCGCCAGCAGCCGCTGGCAGCCCTTCCTCTCCATTTCCCTCCCTTCTGGTTCCAAAATCCAGCCCTTGCCCTGGCCTCACTCCTCTGCTCTCTCTCCCTTCCTCCTCCAGGCAGTCCAGCCAGATACTTCCCACTTTCTTTTTCTCCTGCAATGTGGAAGAAAATCAGGAGAGAGATGCCTTTCACTTTATTTTGCGATCAAATCCGATTTTCCAGCCCACATGTGCTGCAGTGGCCGGTGTTGTGGGGTGAGCTGAGGACATATGAGGAGCGTGGAGGTGCTGCAGCCCAGGACTCATCCCTGTTTGGTTTGAGCCAGTGATTATGGCTTGTCCCTCTCCCACCGCTGGTGCAGCTGAGGACACTTCCTGCAAGGCTCCTGCCTTGGACTTGCCTAGCACTTCGTGTCTATCCCTCCTCACTAACAGGTATTGTGCTTTTTTCCACACTAAAAACCCACACCTTTCTTTGCAAAAGCAGACCGTGCTGTGGTGCCACTCCTTAATCATTTTGCTTTAAGCGAACTTTAAGAGCTTCTGTCTCAAGAGTCCATCAACAACTTTATTTCCCTCTGTGGGCAACACTCCAAGGGCAGCTCTTGCAGGGCTCAGCCCAGCCTGGCCTCCACCTCACAGCCCACACCTGCCACAACAGGTGTTGGTCATCGCGGGTGTCCCCAACACTCCCTCACAGGGTGATGGGAACCAGCTGGCCTTGAGGGGTCCCGAGAGCTCAGGGTGTCAGCTCTGGCTGTCCGGATCTTCCAGGGGAATGGAGCTTTGAGCCCTCCCTCCCACCTCCACGTGAGAGCAGGTGCCGATGGCATCTTCCTCAGTTCCCTGGGAGTTAGCAGAAATGTTTACAATGCTTTAGTCTAGCAATGGCAAATGTTCAAGACAACACTGGTAGCAGCATTAAAAAAAAAAAAAAAGGAAAAGAAAAAAAGGAAGTTCAAGCAATGGGGGTAACCTAGGTCACTTCCACAAAACACAAAGGCTCTGCGGGGCCCTTGCAGCTCTGGTTCTCACCGTGCGCTTTTCATGGGTGCTCAGAGGGCTTGCAATGGCCCTTGCACACAGAGGACGACACTAGGTGCTCCAGAGGGATTTCCTCGGGACACAGGGTCCAGAGGCACATAAAAATCCCTCAGGCTCCCAGTGTCCAAAGGAGTCGAACAGGTTTGGCTGGGAAGACACTCATCTGCACCCCCAGACTGCCCTCCGGCCACCCAGGCACAAGGCGCTTTCAGCCACTGGCTTTCCAAAAAGTGATGACAGGATATTATTTGGGACACTGAGACAGTTCAAGGCCCTAAATTTAACAGCTTGAGCTGATGTCTAATCTGGTACTAATAAATAATATGAGGTACCTCAACACCTTTTATGGCTCTTGCTTGAGACTCACGTGTAGTGTTGCCAAACTTATTTCCTCTGTCCTTTCCTTTCAGAGATATTTGCAGTCCAGGTTACAAGATGCAACGTGTCCTCTCTGTTTTCTTGCCAAGCCAGCGCAAAGCAGGGTGGGTCTTTTATTTGGTTTTAAATTGCCTTTTAGCTACACAGATTTAAAAAAAAAAAAAAATCTAGCCAACTGCAAGCTTATAGCAAATGATTCCATAATTTTTTCCAAAGCGCTCTATAAAATACCTTACATCACTGACCATGTTGATCTAGTTACTACTGGATATTTTTCAGAATTTTCAATTTTATAGCAATAGAAGACATGTTTATACATTTAAGGAGTCTGCTGGTTTTCATAAAATGTTTCTCAATCATAAAAAATTCAGTCTGGGCAGAGAGTTGGTATAAAAGAAGCAGAGTGCAATAGATGAAAATAAGCTGTTTGCTTACTTCAACATTTTATGGTTCTGATTTTTTTGGCATTCCTATAACTTTAATGTACAGCAGGCTTAGACCAAAGAAATGGATCCATAACATTTTGAATATTGGAGAATAATTGTTAAATAGTCAAATATTTGCATAGACAATCATTTTTTAGCTCTTCCCCAATATTTGTTAGGAGGTCAGTTTATTATAAATTCAATACACCTTATGTGAAAGGGATTAGTAAAGAACATCTGCGGCCTGTGTCTTGCCTAGAGAGTAGTGTGGCTATCTCCACAGAAATTAATGAGGCTTTACAGCAAAGCTGAGATTTCTCATATGATTTAGGATGAAGCTTGTGTCAGCTT